ATAATGAGGAGCTTCATAACTTGTACTCTTCTCCAAGTATAATTAGAATGATCAAGTCAAGGAGGATGAGGTGGGCAGGGCATGTAACACGAATGGGGGAGACGAGGAATGCATGCAGAACATTGGTGGAAAAGCCAGAAAGAAAGAGACCACTGGGAAGACAAAGGCGTAGGTGGGTGGACAATATTAAAATGGATCTTAGAGAGATAGGATGGGATGGTATGGATTGGATTGGTCTGGCTCAGGATAGGGACCAGTGGAGGGCTCTTGTGAACAAAGTAATGAACCTTCGGGTTCCATAAAATGCTGGGAAATTCTTGAGTAACTACAGAATTGGCAGCTCCTCAAGAAGGGCTCAGCTCCATAAGTGAGTAAGTAAGTAAGTAATTAGAAACAAACTGTTCATTGCAGAAATATTCATCATGTACTAGAATTTTATGCTTACATATTTATCCTATCTCAAGACCATACAACTTCGGGATGTGGATTATATTCAGGTTAATACAGTAACACATTTTCTAACATAATTTCAAACACACTGATTGAGGCTAGCTCTTTCTAAGGGACCCAACAAAATAGGTGTTTTACCTCACCTGAGGATGGAAACAGATCCAGTTTCTGAAATGTCGTGTTTTTTCTTAGTTATCTAAAAAACCAGGACGATGGATAAAGTCCGAAAACCCAATATCTCTGTGTAACATTTTGGGGTTAAAAATGAATACTAAGGAATGATAAAACTCGAACATTAGATTGCATCTCACTCCTACCTAATTTTTGGACTATTCTGGAAGTTCTCTGACTCTGTGAGTGAGAAGTAGCACACTTCCTAAAGTTTCAGAACATTAGATCAGAGCCACTTGCGGTTGAAAATAAACAACAAAAAGGATCATTAAAAATTGAATATCAGACTGTATTTCACGCAGTTCTCCTTTTTCTATTATTTTTACAGATCTATTCCTTTGTAACAGAAAAGAAATATGCTTTGAAAACAACAAGGGTCATGGTGCAATATATAGTTATCAAAATATGTATCAGGAAGGCTACAGTCCTGTATATGCAGCCAAATGTTTAGTCTGCATCTTGCCATCAAGAAACTACAGGAAAGCAGTGTGAGATTGTTAAGAGGAAACAGCATGTGACAGCAAATATGCAGTGAAAATGTAATTTATTCATACTAACTGAAACACGTATTTAATTAAAAGCACGCACACACACAGATATATATATATATATATACACACACACACACACACACACACACACACACACATATGCACTCTCCATTTTGCTTTCAGTCTTTTGCCTCAAATTAGCATCTAAATTAAGATTATATTTAAAGTGCCATGTTCAATGTTTATAACACCTGATACCATCAGTGACTATCATATTGATTTGTCTTAAAGAACACAATAACAGTGAAAGTAAAATCATTAATATACTTGCAGATGGAAAAAGAGGAAAGCAGAGAAAAGAAAAAAGAAAGAAGTAGATTAGTGGCATCTGTGCTTATTGTGGAAAGCAAATAAACTTAAGAGCAATTAAAAAAGTAATTCATTATGAACAATTTTATGTTCACAATTGCCCATACCAGAAACCCAGTTGTCACATTCATGCATATGGGCAAACAAAATGATTTACAAATATTCTTACATTAATCAGTTTAGCAGGTACTTTGCATCAAATGGAGTGTCTACTGTGAAGCTCATTCCTTTCCTTATGACATGCCAAGTAGAAGAGAATTTTATGAAGATTATTTCAAAGGACTAATTGTTTTCAACAACCCATTTTGGAAAACTAATGCAGTTCCCATAATACACAAAATATCGTTCCAGATTAGAGTTTTTGGACTCTGTCCCTCATTTAATATTCTAATATTTGACAATGGTGTGGTAAAGGTATCCCTGGTCTGTAATTAATTAAGCACCATGTTATGAAGTTGTATGGGGAAAAGAAGGTACAGCTCTACCATTCTTAACTTTGGCACTAGATGGAGGTGAGTTGTCAGCTTTACAAACATGTTGATTTACCTCTCAGGGAAAAAGCCCCCTGATAATTGTCACATAGGAGGCTGGGTGCACCTCATGGTGGGGAGAAAAACTCGTGCCCCTGCCGGGAATCAAATCCTGACTCCTCGACCATCCAGCAAGTAGCCTAGTTGCTGTACTGAGAGAGATATCCTGGCTGTCAGTCCAAAAACTCACTAATTCTGAGTGTTATGTACTAACATCAGAACCCTTTAGAACTGATAAAACATCTTCTACCCTCATCTCCCCCAATCCCCAACAAATGTATAAGTTATTTACTTCCAGTGTCTAATTACTAAAAGTAAAGGGAACATTTAACAGGATACAAAAATGTTTAAGTCCCAACATTCTCTGTTAATATCAGTGAAATCATTTCATTTAGCAATGTCTGTAGAACAAAGCTTCAGTGACCCAAATTGAAAACTGAGTACATACCACTGATGCTCCTCTGCCTGTCTGTCCACCCAATCCAGGCTGAGGACTGGAGGGGTTGTTCCCATAGTTCTGTACAGCAGAAGATGACTGCGCCAGCATCGGTCGGTCAGCTGCTGTTTGAATGACCAAGAAACTAGATGCTGGCAATGTCTCAGGTTCCCTGTATATCATACATAATTCATGATAATTTACTATTTGAATTATTGCATAGCTAAATGATATGAAACCTTCAGACTCTGCAGAACATAATGCAGGAATTCATTAACATACTGTTCCACAAACATAACAAATAAGCTAAATCCAAACAACAAAACTGGAAGATTTGTTATGAAATTAAACTTGTGTAAAAGGGCTCAGTTCAACTTGAATATGCCTTTTATCAACAATCTCATCTCCTTCGCCTTTATGTTTTCCTTTATCTTTCTGCTGTACAAGTGGGATGACAATGAGTCCACTGGTCCTGTGGCCTCAAATGGGCCCACTGGCAGAATTACTAACAGGAAAAACCACAGAATTCAGAGTAAAGCCAGCCCATGCCATTTTGTCCATCACAAATCCTACATTTTCATATGACTGGAACAAGACTCTGTGGTGAGAAGCTGGTAACTAGCCATGGAACAGCTCACCATCACATTAGTAATTATGTATTCTGGTGGCCATGTATAATTTTCAATTGTCATAACCTTAAGGTAATAAAGGGCCCCAAAAATATGTATGGAAAGAATGCTGCTGAAACGTGAAAAGGTCTTGGAGACCGAAATTTGGTTTTGGGTAGGACGTACCAAATTAAAGAGACTATCACAAATATATCAAATGAATATGTATATATTAAATAACAAATACAAATACAACCTAAGTACCTGGAGGTAATAAGCCTCCAAGAATCACAATCGTACCGACCAGAAAAGGTGAATTGACTGCACAGTTCAGGGTCCCACAACAGAATGGATCACTCGCGTTGGACCTCAGCAGACGGGAATCAGGAAGTGGAACATTGGAAGGGGTAAGTAGTAAGAAAGGGGGTGGGGGACGCCCTCTGACGTAACGTAGACCCGGCGTTACACTGCAATGACGAAGAACTAAGATGTAGGCCGGGTTTGCCACACTGGTGGTTAGGCCAAAGGAAAGGAATGCTGAAACAGCATGTTGAACTACATGGTAGTTGTAATCAGGTCATTAGGAAGTTGAAGACGAGCAGAAGTCAGCTGTTAAATACCCATGGTTGGGGATACACAAGAACCAAATGATAGAAGATTTTTAAGAGGTGCCATAGCCACCATGCCCAAGGCCACCTCAATATTACGAGTGAAAGTTTATATGGCAGATACCGCACTCACCCTAATAGCTTGTTAAGCCTCCNCTAAAATTTTTGGAGAACACTTACCAATGCTCCCAGAAGTGCTTGAGAGTGCGATATTTCTGGAAACATTCCCCTTTGTGAAGTGGCATTATACAATTGCAAATGTAGACAGTCATAGTCCTTTTTTTTTGTGAACTGCGCAAACACGGCATTGCATAGAAGAATGCTTCCCCTTGGAATGTTCAATCGTCACGATTTTCATGAGGGTATGTTTCCGCATATCACCCTGAGAGTCGCCCGGGAGTGTCCACATGAGGCCTGCGTGGGGTGGGAGTTCATGGGCTAGGTTGCACTAAGTCTGTCAGACTCTGGTTCTGCCGCCACCATCTGGTCTGTAGCCCAAGCCTTTGCCACATTCATCAGAAATGCTTTGCATTTCAAATTAGAATCAGGGTTTAAATTTTTGCAAAACCAAAAATGAATTGAAAATGGCACAATTTATAAGCCACAAGGCAACTTTCACTTTTATTATCTGTGGCCACAATTCTTTGTTGACCCCTGTCACTTCCACTGTCTGAGTCACTAATCACTACTCCTCCACAAGGCACGTCAGATAGCTCATCGGAAGAGAAGTCAGAGAAATCGCTTGCCTTCAACCGCTTTTGTCCTTGAAACATATTCCCCTCTACTAACTTCCTGCTTTGTACATAAACAGCTGAAAAGGACAAAGTTTATTTTCTTTTGGAGTAGGGACCCTAGCCAGCCAGGTCAAGTTACTGAATGCCTAGCATTCCGAAGATTTATTACGCAGTATTCATTGCAGCTGTGTGGCGCCAGAGCAAGGTACAGTGTGTTACAACCTAACGTGTCCTCAAAGCAAAATATCATGCGATTGGTCCGCCATGTTATAAAGCGAAAAACCTTCTAAAGGGTCCACGGTCCGCAAAGTGTTAAGAGAATTGAGATCAACCAATTTACTAGATTCCAGAACCACAGACGTAAATGATGTAAGATATTAATAATAATGTAAATATACCCCCTTGTGTTTCAAGGTCATTCCAGTAACCCCCTCCTTGAAGAGATACTTTTAGGGTCAGGGACGGTACGGTGTCAGCGATAAACGCCGATAGGCTGAATTAAGTGTATACCCCTCCAGACACCCTGTTCTTGAATCCTGTACCTTCTAAGTCACCCAGTCCATACTGTTCCTTTTGAGAGGCCAACCAGCTAACAGGCTACAGAGAGCACCTGAGGTTAGACGTAGCTAACTAGATCAGGGAGACAGATTGCACAGCTACAGTCTGGAGGCAGCTCAGATATGCTGTACCTGAGGCGGCTCCATTCTTCTACTTAACCACTGCCATCGGCACCTTCTTCATTGAAGCACCATTGTGTAAGATTAATATTTTATTAAGACTAACTGAACTGCATTGTATCTACAGAAAACTGGGTTCCTGTGGTGAAGTTCCACATTGTGGTCTTCTGGAAATGACACTGTGCAGTCTGGTAGGTAGTTACTGATGTTTCAGAGGCATATGCTACCTTCATCTCCTACTCTGAAGATAGAAACCACCTACCAGACTCCACGGTGTCATAAGCCAGAAGACTATAATATTGTGACATGTTGACCCCTACCCCCCCCCCCCCCCC